GGGCCTTTATTTGTCTGACAGCCAAAAAGGCCGAAACAAATGCATAAGGAATGTTGAAATTTGTACTGCATCTGATGCAATGTAAGTACTAGGTGTTTCACGATAGGTTTCAAAGAAATGCATCGTTGCAACAAAATCAGATGCTGCTGCCTTACGCCATGCCCCTGCTTCAATCGACCTTCACGAAAAAAGGCAGGGACGCGTCATCCCCTGCCGTTCGCAGAGCATAAACCCACCTGTCGGAGCCTGTTCACGTTCAGAGCAGGTCCCCCCCAGCGTCGGTGAGATCGGAGCCTGTTCGCGTTCAGAACAGGTCCCCACCAGCGTCGGTGAGATCGGGACCTGTTCGCGTTCAGAGCAGGTCCCCCGTCAGTGTCGGTGAGATCGGGGCCTGTTCGCGTTCAGAGCAGGTCCCCGGCCAGCGTCGGCGAGCCCTGTCAGGACCACACAGCCTCTCAGGAAATATCGATCCCAAGAAGCATCACCACCTTTAGTTAGCCTCTAAACGTGGTACCATCCGTGCCGCATGCCGTACGTCTACCAATGGCCATCACTCCGATGGGCGCAGTTGGATATTGCTTGGGCGGGGGTCGGGACGGTGGCGACGCCAAGAAAATCATCATATCGCCTTGCTGATCCGAACTTTTTTGTGGGCGGGGTTAGGAACAGTGACGATGCCAAGAAAATCGTACAGTTGCCTTAGTGATGAGAACTTTTGTGTGAGCGGGGTTCGGAGCGGGGGCGACGCCAAACAATCGTCCTATTGTTCTGCTGATGTGAACTTTTGCGTGTATTTCTCGTTTTTTAGTTCTAAAGGACACCGAAAATCAAAAGAATGCATCCTGAATGGAAAACACTATATCATGTGGGGTACCACACACGGTTTTAGACAGTCAACGCAATACACGCCGGTGCATTGGGCACACAGCATCACATGGGCACACATTATGGGTATACCACAGCATCTGCCACGACGTTTGTGGAGACCTATGCATTTGGCATGAAGCATCCTGCATATGCGTCGCAAAAAATAAAGCTAGCCTTCAATCTACTGCCACAATGACGAGCACCTGCACGGTGGCGGCGCTGGCAGTGCCGTCCGGTGCTCCCACAGCCGTTTCTCCGGGCTCCCCGGGGGACGTCGCCACAACAGAGCCGTCAATAACGGATCGAGCCGGCCCACCGGGCGGGCGGACCACGTCGGCCACCCCCGGTACGGGCGGACTGCTCGCAGCCAGCGTCGGCACGGTCGGCCTAGCGACTCAGACGGACAAGCCGTCCACGGATGCGCTCCGTGCGCGCCGACAGGGCGTCAACATGTTTGCGCCGGGCCGGCGGCGGTGTGACGGGCCGGCTGTGACAGGTGGCTGTGACAGGTGCCGTCGCGACAGGCGGCCCCGGTGGGCGGCGACAGCATCTTGAGCGGGCTGGCCGCAGGCGAGGGCTGGGCAGTGTCCGGCCGTCTCACAATAGAAAACGGGCGCTCACAAAATGGCGTCGTATTGCGGGGAGCATACAGGTATCAAAATGACCTTGTCACAGATTATCGAACACGTGCGTGGAGGAACTAGCGCAAATGTGCAGAGACACAATTAGTTTAAGTCGGGATGATGTCGCGTTGTCGGAAATACCTGCCAGGATTTGGTTATCGATATCCTATACATCACCTCTTACCTTACGATAGATACTGGCATGACAAGCTAAGACCCAACGGCTTGCTGGTATGGCAAAATTTGCAACAACAACAAAAAGCTATTAAAAGGATGGTCACACCTTTTAGGCTCAACGTTTATCCGTGAATGCACGCAATTCGATTAGACATGTCCGATCCTGACTGGGACGACAGTTGTCAAATCCATCTTGAACAACTAAGAGTTACGATTAAAATGTCAACTTGCCGGAATTTGTCATCGGGCTTTTTGCTCACCATTCTCAAAAACCGCAATGATGAATAAAAAAGCAACTCTTCATGGGTCCTATGACAGCCATAGCATATATCAAATTAAGTATGCCTAATCAAAGTTCCTCGCTCATCTCTGCATGACAATTTACGTATTATACTTCGCTAGAAGTATACATTTACAGCGTAGCAGGCAGTGTAACAGTGCTAAACGAGGCACCAACGCCCGAGATAAGCTCCATCAGCCCTGTGAGGAGGCACGGCTTCGACGCTACGCATGGGGCGAATCTTACGTCAATTCAAGGTCGGCCCCCACCAGCAGGATTTGAAAGCAGAATTTCAATGCACGTAGTGTAATGCAAGCTGTGTAGTGGGCTCACAGCGAGTACTTACTGCTACGGGACCAAAGTGAACCAAACGAATGCTTTCTGTGAGTGAAGACTATTTTCCGTAAAAAGAGTTCTTTGGTTATAACATTTGTTTAGTGGCCGTTAAGAAAGGGTGATCTTTACTTGGAAAGGTGCACATTTATTCTATGTACGTCATGGCAGCGTCTTGATGAAACCGGCGCTGAGCCATCAAAACGGATTAGGCGACTGGTCACGGTGCATTATCGAACATATGTCGACCCATTATAAAAGGCTGGTTCATATCAGAGACAAGAGATAGAGCTCCTTCTGGCAGCGTTGTGAAGCACGCACAAAATTTCGGAGGAGTTCGGATTTCCATGTTGTATACCTTGCTGAAACTGTAGGATGTTTGATCCTCCCACTGCGTGGGTGCCTATGAAACGTTTCTTTTCAGTCCTAATTAAGCCCAGAAAATCCATGGTAAGGTTGAGCCAGTGGACGTTTATAACAGGACATCAACTTGCAGGCCATTTGGGAACGAAGCCACTGAGCGGAATGGAGGCGTATTTTGTGAGTTGTGATGACTGCATGCGGTTGGGAGTTCGCCTTGGCCCACCAGACGTTAGCAGTTCGCCTTGGCCCACCAGACGTCAGCAGTTCGCCTTGGCCCACCAGACGTCGGCAGTTCGCCCTGGCCCACCAGACGTTAGCAGTTCGCCCTGGCCCACCAGATGTATCTAACACGCGTCACTTCTTCTCCCAGCAGGAGACTGCCATAGCTCCGCAGCCGCTGGGAATCCAGACATTGTTTACAATGTTTTTCTGCTCCCTGCCCTGTCTGACTTCAAAATGCATGCAAATGTATGCTTGTTTCATTTGTTTTGAAAAACGAGCGAGCTACTCGAGATGCCAACGTAAAACAACTGAATTGGGAGACGGGGAGTCATTGTGCATATCCCAAACAGTGCGACGAGGGGGCACGTTGTGCGCTTTTCTACGGACGGCAAGCGCAAGTCGCAGTGCGCAGCAATCGCCCATAAATTTGGCTCTTGGATGGTGCAGCACCCCAGCCTGAGTAGTCTGACTGCAGGAACCGGCTCCCGGTCCGGGAAAGGCTGGTGAAAATCGCCAGCAATGCAAATTACCAACTCTTGCAAACACCAAACAGACAGCTCAGAAGCGTAAAATCACCATATGGAAGGAAAAACCGTTTTCCCTAGATGCAGTGTTGAGCGCGCTTGCTGGGCTCACGCATGCGTGTGTAGGTGTGTTTGTGTGTGCCTGTAGGGGTGGAGTGGAGATCACATCTGGTTGGCAACCAGCAACTCACCGCGGCAACAGCAAACGGGAATTATAAATATATGCAATGGCAGCCTAAGCAGAGCCGTACTAAATATGATAAAGGTGCGTTGACTAATGCATCGACATTTCCTGGTCAGATGAGTGTTTTATTTTATGGTAAAAAGGGCTGGAAGTAAGTTTTATACAGTGAATAAAACTACCCTCGATTAGAAGCTCCTACGAAACCATCAATATTTGTTCGCATTGTATTTGTTCACGAGAATGTGCGAAACATCAGGGGACCAAGCATGGACCATACAGGAGTGGGCGGGGAGGCGGCAAATTAAAATTATCGTACCCAGTGTCTGACAAACGCCCGAATATTAAGCATAAAGATATCACACGTTTTCTCATTGCTTAGGGGGTGGAAGCCATGACCCGGTAATCTCCTCCGTCGATCCCTAGATGACATCGCATCTTCTTTCTCTCGCACACATTAACAACAGAAACGACTCACATAGTCCCACGTGCGAACGTAAGCGAGTCAAAAACGTGGAGAGCTACCACAATGGTATCTAGTCGCGAGCTACCAAAAGTTACGCTGCAAAACATAACCATTAATCTGCACAAGCAATCCTAGTTTTTGCGTTGTTGCGGAACTCCGAACAAACAATCCTATTTTTGCAAAACTTGATATGAAAAAGAAAACTTTTAACTCTACACAATCAAACACGCTTTAGCGTTTGGGGACATTGAGCTCAATATTACCAAACACAAACACACAAATACATGTGGGCAATGCAAGCGTCACCGAGTCAGACCCGAGCCAAGGTTGTCCCACGAAATATCAAAATGGTCCCGTAACTAAAAAAGCAAAACCGATACTGATCTTAAACTTGTCATCTAGATTGACCCATCCGTTTGGCCTGCGCGAAATCCATACGACATGCTTAGAAGCTAGAGAAGGACGTCGGTGTTTAATTTACACTAAGAACGTCGAACTGCTGTTTGAGAACGAATCCACCGTGCGACGTGTGGAGTCTTCGGGAGCCAGCGTCTCCGAGATGCCTATTAAGCCCGTAGTGAATTGGACTCTTACCCTTGCCCATGCAGAACTGAGAATGTCCTTGTGCCTGGCACAAAGTGCAGGTGACTGTCAATAACTTTTCTCGTCATGCATTGTCACGAAAGCCGCAACAGCAGGTGTGACACGAATGACCTCACGACACCATGACCTCATGACGAATGATCAGGCTCATCATGACCTTACCAGCTTGGCAGGGTAGGCACACTTGTCCACGCCACGTGAATCAAGCTCTTCATGACCTACCAGCTTGGCAGGGCAGGCACACTCGTCCACGCTACGTGAATCAGCCTCTTCATGACCTTACCAGCTTGGCAGGTAGGCACACTCGTCCGCGCTGCGTGAATCAGGCTCTTCATACCCCCGACGATCCTGTTAACAAGGCTAGCTACCATATCGTTTACCATGGCAGACGTGCGCAGATGAGCCTCAGAGACCTAAGAGCTCGGAAGAATCCCCCGCGGACTCGCCCTATGACAGAGGTGGCTGGAAGGCCGGCCAAACTGCTGAGGACGTCATTCACCAGTCGCAAGAGACAGCTTTTTTCGTATGTAGAAACGTTAAGTTGCCCGAGATGCTTCCATAAAAAACCGCTCGCGCAAAAAGGGAAAATGCTGCCTGGGGAAGCTTAACATGAAGGTTGTCTGTCACGCAAGACAAAGTCGTCAGAATCAGTGAGGTGCGCGGGTACAAATGCCAGGAGTTCGGTTAAGATGTTTTGCGAAAACCAGATGTCTGCCAATTATGTCCCCGCTTGGTAATCACTGCAGGAGACTCCAAGAGCCTCCCGAACTGTCAGTCGTTTGGGTGTGCTGTGACAGTCCACGGACAATACTCCGCTCCAAGAGTCTCCCGAACTGCCGGTCGTTTAGGTATGCTGTGGCAGTCCACGGACAAAACTTCGCTCCAAGAGTCTCTCGAACCGTCGGTAGTTTGGGTGTCCTGTAGCAGTCCACGGACAATACTCCGCTGTTTTGTTCTTCAACGTCCCCTGAGCACTTGTTTTTCTCCAATTGGCCCTTTTTATGCTTTTTGATTACCTTTCCTCAAATCTTCCTGATGCTGTTTGGCTTTTGCACCTGTTCAGTCTTGTCTATCAGAACAAACATGTCCCCGTCTTTCCGACTGGGTCATCATGGTGTTCACGTCTTTTTCAAAGAGTCCAGGGTATGCCTCTGACTGGATACCGTGTTCGGAGGCTCTTCGATCTAGCTCTTTGAGTCTGCGTCGTTTGATCTGAACCAGAGTGTCATGTTTTACAATTTCAAAAGTATTTTCGTCGTTCCTGGGTATGTCTGGCGGTTGGGAGCCACTCCCGTGGGAAATACAGCCGTGGTATGTCTCAGATATCGTTAGATTCACACCCAGCGTAGACGTGGCTGCTGTAGACAGCGGCTGAGCCGGTTCGGGCACGTTAGCCGGGTAATGGAGGAGAGCTTACCTTCTTCTCTTAAATGTGTAGCATTCCTTAGGAGCCAAGCGCTGCCTTTCTTAAACTCACCTTCCATGCCCCACGTGGGCTTGGCATAGTTCTCCATGTGGGCGCAAACTCCAGTTCTTTTCTAGGAGCGTCACGACGCTTTTTTATCTGTTAGAATATATATATATATATATATATATATATATATATATATATATATATATTGCACTACGACGCCTATATTGATTCCATTAGGTCGACCTGTCGTTTCGCGAGATAGATCCCACGGGATACCGAAGGAGCTGCGTGTTCACTCGTGGGCGTGCGTTGACGGGCGGGCCGCCCCTTTTTGTGATGAGCGTGCATAACTTTTCGGTGAAACGGCATTCTCTGCGTCGATACAAAACACTTTCTTGATATGCTTACATAACTCTATAGCCTACGTGACACAGTTGTGAAGTGAAAACGTAAATGCTGGTATGTGTTTTCAAGGCTAAATTCATGACGGTGTGATCCATCATTTCTTCACGGCCAGCACGAAGGTTTTCCACTAGAGGGGATGTCCTTTTATATTTCAAATGGGTCTCGCCATGTCTTACCACAGTTGTATCTGGGTTCCCAATGAAAAGCCATTGGTAACTTGAATACTTCCAGGCATTCTCAAGGCTATATTCACCGATCTTTTTCATTACCAGATACCGCCCGCTCATAATGGAAGAAAAAAGAACGTTATGTCTCTACAGTCAACAAAGAAGTCGGCGGTTCCGATGCTGAGTGAGGCCTTTTGGTTGCATGAGAGAAAGTTCGTCATGCCTTGACATTGACAATTTGTACGAATTACTCACGATTTGGGAAATTGCAGTCAGAATTCATATCGCATTGCAAAAATGACCATAACCAACTGCCGAAGTTTTCACAAATAAGCCGAAAAAGAGAACAAGCGAGCCATGAACAACTGACCCATGTAAAAACAGACGAGCGCAGATAGCTTTGAGCCTTCACCAGTGATCTCCAAGGAGAGACGCATTGAGAATCGCCTGCATCTTCGTGATGCACTGGGCGTAGTCATATGTGGGCAAGCATGGGCTGCCGGGTCTCAACCATTCTCAGAGACCCATCTCTCAAAGGGAGACCTGGGAACATTGAGTGTACTGCTGGACGAACATTTCAAATGTCATTTCGATGACCCAATTTAGAATCAAACACCAGCTTTGCGGTTGAGCTTCTTAGCACTGATTGGCGTGTCACAAGGTCGAAATTGATGAGTCAGTCCAAATAAGAAACTTAAGTCAGTCCAAATAAGAAACTTGAAGCCGGCGATGAAAATAAGGCTCAGCTGCCGGCCCTCTGTCAAGTCCGTGGGATAAGTGCGGCTCAGGAGGCCATCACACGGTGACCGTGCATTTGCCCCGAGGCCAGACACCTGTGTAGACATAATTATTCTGCATTAGTTGTGCCCGTTCGTGTTTTACTCGGTTGGGGTATGTGAGCGCACTGCCTTTTGAATTATTGTTACTGCTCTTCGTTCATAAATGAGCATGGTGCCGATTGTGCAGCGTTCTTCAAATTAACATTGTTACGTAATGTAGACGTCCAGGACGTGCATCACGTAATACAATATTTAATATTTTCAAAATTGTTAAAACGTTATGATGGCGTTCATTAATTAGCTGATCTCCTATTATCTAGGAATTTTGCGGAACAAAATTTGCCTGGCAAGTCGGACATGAATGGTCATATCTTCCCATTCGCCAATAAAACTGCCGGCCATTATCCCATCTTCAAGTAAGCTATCCACAGGTCTTCATGAACTCAACGTCTTTCTCAGCCACGTAGATACTACTACCCTTACAGCTGACCAAGAACATACACAACCTGCGGACCATCCCGCAACACCTGCAGCCCAGCCCGGACGGAACCGACGCCCGCCGGCGGCCCGGGCCGGTACCAGCCCAGCTTGCACTCGTGCCCACCGGCGGTCCCCGACAACAGGCCGTTGGGACCACCTCGTCTCGCTGGAGCGGCGGGTGGCGCACGTGGGGCGGCGGCGCGCGGCCGGCACTCCCGGCGATATTGTCCAGTCGGCCGGTCGCGGCGGAGGCGCTCCGACCGGCCGCCCTGGCCGGGCTTATTGCCGCAGCCGGCGCCAAGGGGATTACCGGAGGTGGGTCGGCCGCGTTCGGACAGGCGCGATGGCAACTCTCCCGGCTATCTGCATAATCAATGGGGCCGGCCGCGCCGGCTGAGCTGATGGTCGCCCGGGGAGAGCCGCCGGCGGCCGGCCGTCTTCCCGCCCTGGCCGCCGCCCGCCAGCTAATTGCGAGGCGGCCGACGAGGGTCGAAGATTACGGCTGACAGCCCGGAGGAGGCCTGGCGGCGGTTCCCGCCCTGAGCCCCCAGCGGAGGCTCCTCTCTGCTGCGACTGGTGGCAGACGGGGCTGCAGTCAAGGCAGGAGGGGGGGGGGGGGATCAGGATAGGGCCCATCGAGGGATCAGGCTGGGAATTAAACCACGAGGTGCATTAGAGACGCCCAGAATAGGGGCTGGGCGAGGGCCAGGTGTGGACCGGCTCCGAGACCGGACAGGGCTGCGCCGAGACACACTGACTGGATGTAATTCGACCTGACCTGACCGACTTGGGGGCACAGGCAGCTCTGAGCAAGCATGTCTTGGCCAACCGGAGAGTGTCTGGAGCGACTGATGGATTGGGAGGAGCGTTGGACACGGTCCAGTGCACCGTCCGGAGAGTGTCTGGAACGACTGATGGATTGGGAGGAGCGTTTGCACACAGTCCAGTGCACCGTCCGGAGAGTGTCTGGAGCGACTGATGGATTGGGAGGAGCGTTGGACACAGTCCAGTCCACCGTCCGGAAAGTGTCTGGAGCGACTGATGGATTGGGAGGAGCGTTGGACACGGTCCAGTGCACCGTTGGGGTTGGGCTCCCGGTGCTCGGTGCCAAGAGCCGGCCACCGGTCCGTTTCCTTGAATGAGCGCCGAAGGACGTCGAAGGACGTCGTGTCGGCGCCAGCGTCTCTTCGTTATTGTGACGCTTGTAAGTTTTTTACGAGCATGCCGGGGAAAACGGTAATTCGTTTTGAAGCATTGGTGGCGTCGAGGTCCATTTCACTTTACGACCTCACTTGGTCCCGAAATATGGTCCCGGCGACTCTAAACCAATTGCCAATTACGCCCACGAGCAGGCTTAAGCCATTGCCCCCACGTAATGGCATTTGGCTACAAGGTGGCTCGACGCGTTGAGCAGTAATGAGCCTATGCCGCTATGGCAAGAGATACAAGATGTACCGGGTAATCATGCGTTTGGTCAAACCCCTGGCGATGGTTCCCTTGTCATTTCGAGAGGAACAATGCACTTTTGTCACCCGTGTTATATGGTCATCCCCGATCTATACATCCAAACACATCACTAGCACCACTCCTCACCATATGCCAGGACACTGCCAGACGACACGGCACGACTAAAATGTGATTGTGAATTAGGATATAAGTCCCAGTACAGGGTAGAGCAAGACGGAAAGGTACGCACCACCCTTTAAACACGCACATCTAGGTACGACCTCGAGTGCTCTCCATTTTTGTAGTGTCCGAATTTTTATTTTCTGCCGAAAGACGTATATCATTCAATATGCGAAAACCCCCGCATGCCTGCAATTGTGCAATATAGTTGCATAGCGAGATGCTATGGAATATTGGCGCGCAAAACCAGTTTAGTACAGAACTGAATGGTGCGTACACTCCAACGTGTATAGTCATTGATTAGTGTCCTTCAATCCAGAATACATCTTTGTCTCTCGTAAAACTTCCTCCCGATGCTGGTGAGAACTGGCACCAGCGCGCGACTAAAATTCAAATGATGTATCATCGTCCATTATGAATTTGTGATTAGACCTTTCCGATTTCCTTCTCCTTTTTATCGAGCAGTGGCGAAATTAATAATGAGTGCCAAATGGCACTTGTCACTGCGATATCTCGCCATTGTAATGGGATACAAGACAGACTGTGTTCGAACAGTGTTCCGTCAATGGTTAGGTTGTTGGCTAGGATCAGCCGGGACGAGCGCAGAGCACGGCGGGGCACCAGCCGGGATGAGCGCGGAGCACGGTGGGGCACCAGCCGGGATGAGCGCGGAGCACGGTGGGGGCATCAGCCGGGACGAGCGCGGAGCACGGTGGGGCACCAGCCGGGATGAGCGCGGAGCACGGTGGGGCACCAGCCGGGATGAGCGCGGAGCACGGTGAGGCACGCACGGCCCGGGACTGATCCTTTGGCGCACACACCTGTTCTCGTCCAAAACATTTTTGGTGGAGCACGCACGGTTCGGGACTGATCTTCCGGTGCATTTAAACTGTTCTCGTCCAAAAGCATGTCTTTAAGCTCGTAATCGCCATGGCAGTAACTCTCGGCGTATCGTATGGCGACAAGCCATGGCATATCATATGACGACGAGTCGCAGCATATCACAGCTTCCCCCCCCCCCCCCCCCTCAACGAGCTATCAGTGTCCAACATGCCTCCAACGCGCCGCTAAATGAAGCCTCGTCTCGGTTAATGGCCTGTTTGAGGCTGCCAATCCCTCTCCCGCAGCACAACAATATACGAGCAATGTTGTCCTCATCATTACACAAGCCATTGAAGCTACGTTGCTACCTATTGATGTCTCGCAGTAAACTGAATGAAGCCTTTGATAGGTTGCCAGCGGCGTGCCCGCCCCGCCTGGCACTCATCCAAGCTCGTCCCACCCTCCCCCCGGCGGCGACCGGGACCGCGCTGTGTCGTTCCCGTCGACAATACCGGAACTGATCAGTCAATGGCTCGGGGGGCGACGTCTGATGCGGGGGCGCGCTGCGGCGGCGAGCTCCTCTCCCGGAAACCCGCCCGCCTCATGACCGGTATATGTTCATTTTGAGGTGCCGACCTTTCCACGCCAACTCAGCTGGATGGTATTTGATACAGTATTTTAGTGCCGATTTAGATGCTTTATGCTCGACGCATTGTCGATATTTTGACGAGGTGTGGCGAATCATGAAATCTAAGCAGATGGTGATATATCGATAATCAGATGCAACCAAATAATGTGTAATGTTTTGTGACGCGCCCAAATAGATCACCGAGGAAAGGTAGAAACTTCAAATACGACGTCTAAAATCACACTAACGCTCCTTGCAGCAGCGTGTGCCGGAGCCTCGTTACTGGTCAAGGATTCCGGCGCGGTCGCTGCACAACTACCACGAATCCATTCTTTCACCCCAGCTCACGCATCGCGGAGAGGAAGTCGGCGTCCCAGCGTCAGGCCTGCGGTACATCATGCCGATGGCACCCACCTTTGTCGTTCTCTCCTTGCATTTGTCGGAACCGGCGAAGATATTGACGTCGGTGCTGTTCCGCCTCTGCGGGCACTGGTCGATGTCGACGCGCCGCAGGTCAATGTCGATTCCACTCGTGCCCCTGCGAAGCACGTACAGAGCTCGACGACCGTTCTGCGAGAAGCAGTGCCTCCTCGGAGCTCGTCTCAGGGGCGCCATCGTCGGGGTGGGCGCTGGCTGATCTATGACACGGATAACTACACACCACGGGCTGGACGCAGCACTTTGCTCGCAAACCAATTACTTGAGACTGAGATGAGGTTACGAGGATGCCGTTGCATAATGCAGTGGTCGAGCGCGGAAACAGGGGCCGGGGCTTTTAGCTGCTATCACGGAGCGCGTCGGTGTTTGTTTACACGTAATTTGAGTGCGCGTGCAGCAGATTGCTGGCCGACGCTATGCAATTATCAGCGGTCACAAACTGATTGATGTTTGATGGGAGCGTCAGTAACGAAAAATCTTGTGAAGAGGGCTGGTGGCATCCACAGCTAGCTCAGACGTAGTGAATGAATGACTGAATGGAGCGAACGAACGCAGTCATGCAGGCGAGGCCAAATCCGAGTCCACTTTGCTTGCTTTCCTGTTTACATGAAATCCATGAATTTTCATGGTCGCAAACACGTAGTGCATTGCACGACAGCTCCGCAAAGTCACTGTGTGATCATGCAGTATTTGGGCTATGTGGAAACTCACAAGCTGATTGAGTTGCGTTTACCAACTTAAAATACAAGTTAAGCTCGCATTGGATGGACGTGGCGCGAATGTATGCAAGAAACGTACGCACTATTTCGTGGGGGGAAGTGTAGCGCGGTTCGGCGCTGTGTTATGGGCGTTTACTCAAACAAACATTTTTTTTAAGCGCGTCGTACACGCATCAAAAAGCAAGTGACGCCACGTGCCGTCAAATGTGACGCGTGATTCTCACCCGAGTTAACTAAACTGGGGATCAAAGACGGAATTCAAATTCGGAATTTTCTGCTTGTGAGAGGTGGAATATCACCTTTTTGGGCAAGTCTGCGCACAGTCATGACTTGACTCAGGTTCAGTGCAAAATCGAGCCTAAGAACCAGCCTAAGATCAAGTATAGCGATCGTTGGTAATAGATCTGGTCTAGCCATGGCAGCCTACTTACGTACAGAAAATAGCATGCGTGCTTGTAAACTTTAATTACATACCGAATGTGTTGTGAAATGTTCGAAACGTCGCCAAAGAACAGCAAGAGAGACACAGCCACAGGCGTTGGGTAGACGCATTAACAACGCCATGGCTCACACGACTGAAGTCATCACGATAATTTGCTTACGCCAGACGCAATGAATGCGGAGTTGTCCTTGCCGACTTGTACATCCTTGCAATTTGTCGACTTTCTGTGGTTAGGAATGTTTGGAATCAGGGATGCAGCAGACTAAGCATTTTGATGGTTGGGCACTCTCCGCCTGTGCATATTTCCCAACGCATGTGCTCCCTAGACCAACACAGATAGACAAAATCGTGCTGGGCATTTTGTCGTTCTGCGGTTATTTCCTGATCTGGCTTGCTCAGCTCTTTTCATTTGCCGGCTCGCCTGGCGAAGCAGCGGCCACGCGTCCTGGAACCGGCCCAGTGCGGATGGTCGTGCCCTTAGCCTCCTCAGATGTCGAAAGTCCCTATACTTTCGCACACGCACCCCAGCAAAAATGACGTGCAATGTTGCCGCGTCACCCGAGGCCCGCGCTGGCCTCTCTTGTACAGCGTGGCCGAGGCATATCACAGCTGCTTGTGAAGCAGGAGGCATCGCCTCAGGGACCCAGACCTAACATCGCTTCTCTCCCGGCCACACCGGCACTGAGTCAGCGCGGTGGCGCGCGTGATCTTGTCACCCGCTGCAACTGCATTAGGGTGGGCAGATTTTGAGCTGATGGACGGGGGTCGGCCTGCTCGCTGAACGTTGAGCCCGATGGCCGCCTTGCCTCAGCGTCTCCCACCCTGGCGGCGGCCAACGCAGAGCGCCCCGGGCTGCCATCTTTCTGCGGCTAATGCGACGCAGAGCGATTCGATGACGTGAGTCAGCTCAAAATAGAACTTGCGCTAAGCCGCCGGAAACGCATGACAGCAGTCTTCATTTGGGATCAGCGGGAGTTTTGGCGAGGTAGTGTCTTTGTTCGTACAAATATGCTCTTCGGCCGGAAACTGCGCGAATGAGGACCTTAGATTAAGATTAACGGATGAACTTTTGGTTGCAGTCTAATTGATGACAGTGGCATAAATGCCTCACATTCCACCCTGGGCAAGCGTCTTTGGTCCGGGAGCACAGGCCGTAGCTAAACAAAAATTTTCACGTGTAAGCTAGAACTAACATTCTGTTGTATTTTCTGGTTCATATCATTGCGCGCCAAAACACACAAAGATATCGTCATGTATTATACTATTCCAACACACACGCACGCACACACGTGCGCAGAGGTAAAAAAGCCTTCACCTGTATCATACAAATATAAATGGTTTGAACTGTCTCCTTAACATGATTTACAGCCAGAAAAAGGAAGGCAGGTCTCAAAGATGCTGACTGTTGAATTTTATATTCAAGTGCATTTTACACACCATAATTTTTTCGGGGAATCGATTGTACTTCCTTCCTTTCAGTGAATGAGACTGCAATAATGCCCATCAAAAAGATGAATGGTTTCAAAGGATTCCTTTCATTCATGCCAAAAAAGTGAGTGAGGCAGGCCTCTTCCTTACCTTTACATACACAATACTCCAATACTAGATTGATATTGAGTGTTCTAGTTGCCCATATTGTACAAAAAACAGCCAAATAATGACTTTTGATTGATTCAAATGGTTCAATGACGTCATCTAAACTTGTATGAATCAACACGCCAAGCAGCCACACATGAGGTGGTTTTCTTCTCATGGGACAACCAATTCAATCTACCTAGTGGAAATTGCCTTATGAAGCGATCAACCAGCATGCAAGCTATTATAAGATGTAAGAAAGATGTAAGCCCGAAAGCAGCCTAAATCTTGCACTGAATGGATTTAGTCCTATGCTCAAGTTATGGTTCTGTTTTACTTAGCAGCTCTAACATATGCTTTATCACCAAATTGAGACCCCCTGGCATATATCCAGAACGTTTACTTAAGCCTAAGCATAAAATCACTCCTAAACTAGCGTTCTCAACTAACTTGTGAGGGAATTTATGAAGATAATTTTCATATATGCACATTTCATAGCACCAAACAGACATTAGAAGGCAATGTGATTTGAAACAGCTCTAGATTTATGATAGCAGCATTTCCTAATTGTCAGAGTCTAGATATGTCAACGTCTAGATAGCTTTTGTGCAAAGATGATAATGACTTCATTAGTTTTAAATCCACATATCTGCAGCACGCTTATTTTTGTTAATAACAAAGATGTTTGAAGTGGTATTTATGAGTTAAATTGCTTGTCCTATTCCTTTCATAAAAAGAGCTGGTGCACAAACTCAGATTGACGATACTATGACGCCATATGGGGTTCATATGGCGAATTCACGCCTTCAGTGAGCGGTTATTTTTTTTAGGCGGAGGAATTTACGCAGTCAAGACGAGGTGCATATCAAAAACCAAACTAACATGACCGTTAAAAAAGTTGGGAGACATTGAAGTGTGCCCACAAATTGCCCACAAACTGTCTCCCCACACGTCATCGCTTAAAAGGTTCAGGCCACTAAAACATATTTTCGCTTTCAGTGTTGTAATGCGCGTAAATTCGCCGCACTCAGCGTGATGTGGAAATATGTGTTTAACAGAACTTTGAACGACGGGAGCGTTTCAGTCTGTTTTATGATAGGCAAGCGTTGATATGACTTTCCCACGCTCGTGGGCATGTGGACGATTTTTTTGCCTCTTCACGTGTGCAAACGCTCACAACGAAGCCCAAATGCCAGCGATCGCAGTTGTGAGTTACTGCTTCCTGCACAATTCCTATTGCCACTTGCCATGCGCTTCACCAGCTTAACCTAACTTAGAGTAGCCCATATGTTGAAAATCATCTCAAGTCACTTATCTGTTGACATCAGCACTTGTGATAAAAACATGATAAAGCTAATTTTTGGATGGTTTCAACTTGCATTTTTATTCAGTTCATTTGTGTATCCTTGTTGACATCAGACAAAGTTGACAACACACGAATCAAAACACTTCAAATCACTTTGAACAACCTATTTTGATTGCCATGGTTTACCTATGTCAACGGTAATAATGGGTATGCTCCACAAAACAATCTCTCTTCTCCAAAAGTAATATAATTATTAGATGACCATGCCAGTATTGCTGCTTGCCTTTTCAGCTGAAGCAAAGGCATTTATTAAGGCTTGTTTATTCATATTTAATAGCAAAGTTTGAGATGCTTCACATTTTAAATGGGATGGTCTGGCTATCTGTTGTATACTAATATTGGAGTCATATTATAATTGCCATGCAACTTAGAGTATCCCCGTGTTAAAAAATATGGTGCATATTTACAGTACAGTCATTTGCCAGTCAGCAAATCATGATAACTATAGAAAACATCTGGTTGAAGCAGCCATGAGGGACCATTTCAAGAAATTTGGGGCAAATAACCAAGAATAATAGAGTAAAATAAGCCTAATGCATGCCTTGTGGCATCTCAGTTTGTCTTAGGACGAAACTCGATGGATAAAATCAGAAAATGGCTAACCCTGGTTACCAATCATGTGTTGAAAGCAGGTAAGGTAAGGCAATTACCTGGTCCATAGGAGGCTTACTGGCTTCTTCCTGCTCCCCCCGAAAACAAAAATTCAGTACCTTTTGCATGGTCTGCTGGCAGGCAGAATCATCCCACTCACCCCCCCCCCCCCCAATATATATATATATATATATATATATATATATATATATATATATATATCAATCATGCCCACCAACCTACGAGATTAAAATGCGAAGAAAGTAAGAGGTGTGCATGATAAGCACCTCCAGAGGGCAGAATTTCGCCATCAAACACTTCTGTATTAGGTGCGTCAGGTCTGTCTCAAAGCTCTGTATGGCGGGATTAGGATAGCCTTGTCAGGTAGCCTGGCGAAATAGACACTC